TTTGGTGACTTCAGTTTGTAAATCTAATCGGCTGCTTGTAAATGTGTCAACATAACAGCCCACATTCTCTCTGTAGAGTCGCCATCTTAGAAGACATCCCCAGGTTCTCCACTGCCTCGATTAGCTTTTCTCCTAAGCAACCAGGAAGACGTCAATGGAGAGAGACGATGCTGCACTTTGGCCTGGAAAATCATAAGAGGACCTTTTATCTGTGGTTCTATCCAGACACTCACACTGGATGGCATAACTAACCCTGAATGAGTGGGTTTGAATTTGTCTTAACGGGGCTGGTGTTTCCTGAGTGGTGAGTCATTGAGGCTCCCCAGCAACACAGCTGGATGCCGAGAGAAAAGTCTGCAATCTCCATTTTTTACTCCAAAATTAAAAACATATATGGGAAATAGTTTTTGAAGAAAAAATGTATTCCTGATATATTTTTACATATAATTCTTTTCCAAATTAAATCAGCACAATGAAAATTAGATTGTAAGACAGAAATCTGTGGATTTCAATGCATCTGAGATATGGATCATGCATTTTAATTAATGGCTTATTACACTGTATTATTGTAACCTTGTAGCCATATTTTAAAAGTACAAACATGCAGGAGTAATATTTGCAAGCAACTGGGAAACAGGTTAAGGTACATCACAGACTGCAGTAATGATTTTTGTTCAATTGTGTCCCCATATCTTATTCCAAGCAAGACTGATGTATAAAGCATGCTCCTCAACCCAGAACCAGATAATAATGGAGATAAGTACTCTGTCTGGTTAGAATTTAAGAGCAATTTCCTGAGGCTCCATTATGAGAGCAGAAGAATACAAATTGGAACGATGCTGGCTGGCCATACCCTAAAGGAGCTAAGGATTTTTTCTACTACCAGTTTAAATACGTCATGTTATCCCAGGTGATTCTAGAACCTTCCATGGTGTGATTTACTATATTGGTAAACTGTTTTTAAAAATTAATTTATCTTTTACTTACTCACTTTACATTCCGTTCACTGCCCCCTCTCCAGTCAAGCTTGGGCTCCAAGGCAGCCCAGCCAGTAAAACATATCCTGCATACAGGTAACAGCTTTGAGAAGAGCCCCCCACTCCAGTTGTTCAGGACCCACGTGAAGACCAAGCTGCCCATCTGCTATGTATGTGCGGGGAGGTCAGCCTGTTCAAGCACCAATTGCTGACATAATCAATGATATTCTGTTGTGCTTGCAGACAGGAGTCTAGCATGGCTGTCCTCTGAGAGGCTCCATCCAGCAGCCAACTCATATAGAGGCTGACACCCACAGCAAAACAGTGGATGGAGCTTGGGGACTCTTATAGAAGAATAAGGGGAAGGATTACAAGTCCCCAAGGGGATAGGAACTCCACAGGAAGACCAACAGAGTCAACTAACCTGGACCCTCGGTAAACTCTTTAACGTTTCTAGACAGAAAGAAAGGCCAAATCAGTCACAGAGCAATCTCATACAATTTATTCACAAATATTAATGCTTTATCAAAAGTAAGCATTACCAGTACCGAGCCCAAACTTCGGAGATTTTCTGAAAACACAATGTTTCTATTTCAAATTTTAAAAATCACCATCTGTATCAACAAATATTTTATAAGATTCATAACATTTTTGAGATTGTTGAAAAGGGTAAGGATAGTGTTTTCGATTATCTTTGGGAGAAATGCATTAAATTTTAAAAGAAAGTTAATTGTGAAAATTTAGCACATAATTCAACCCATAAAACAATACTGTTACAACTTAGAATAGAGCAGCGCTGGGTACATTTAATCTTGCTACGGAAAACGACTGTGAGTGTTCACCTCGTGTGGTTCCTTACATCTATCCTCACCTTGGAAATAATAATTTCTCCTTGTGAAACTCAATGAGGCAGTGAGTAGACGATAGGCTAGGTCATTGCTCGGTGTTCACACCCCTCCCAACCCACTGCTCGGTGTTCACACCCCTCCCAACCCATCCTTTATTTGTCTGTCTTGGAAATTTACTTATGTAATTGTATTTGGTTTCACTCAACAGTATATGGTAACAGAAAAGTTTAAAATAAATCTAGATATTGTAGACCTTGACCCTTGCTACAGAGAAGGTACCGTGTGGTGGGTCTAAAACCAAAGGGCAGGGCAGTGTGTGTGTGTGTGTGTGTGTGTGTGTGTGTGTTCTGTGTGTGTGG